TACATTTGGATTGTGTTTAAGTGTGTGTGTGTATATTTTGCAGTATATATGTCTCCTCCCTTTCATCCTTTGCACTTCATGGCGTAAACTCATAGGCCCATACTTACATACCTTTGTCTATACCATATCACACCCAATACTAACATACCTTTGTCAATACCAATACTTACATACCTTTGTCTATACCATATCGCACCCAATAATTATATACCTTTGTCTATACCATATCACACCCAATACTTTTATACCTTTCTCTATACCTTTCCCTATACCATATCACACCCAATACTTATATACCTTTCCCTATACCTTTCCCTATATCACACCCATAAATTTATATACCTTTCCCTATATCACACCCATATACTTACATACCTTTTCCTAAATCACACCCATAAGCTTATATTCCTTTCCCTATCTCACACCCATATACTTACATATTTTTTCCTAAATCACACCCATATGCTTATATTCCTTTCCCTATATCACACCCATATACCTATATACCTTTCCCTACATCACACCCGTATACTTATATACCTTTCCCTATATCCCACCCATATACTTACATACCTTTCCCTATACCATATCGCACACCACCCCACGGCCTCTGCAGTTATACGAGGTGCTCAATGATCCGAATTCGGACTTTATGTACATGGTGTTTGAGTTGGCTGATGGGGTGGCGTGGACTCTGAACAGCAGAGCCGTGACGGGCCAAGGCGATACAGACAATGACGGAGACACGGACACGGCACAACTGCTGTCACCAGACACTGTGTGGAGCTACTTCCGAGATGTCCTTGCGGGGGTACATTACTGTAAGTGTGTGACCATCATGTATACTACTGTAAGTGTGTGTTCATCATGTATACTACTGTAAGTGTGTGTTGATCATGTATACTATTGTAAGTGTGTGTTCATCATGTATACTACTGTAAGTGTGTGTTCATCATGTATACTATTGTAAGTGTGTGTTTATCATGTATACTACTGTTAGTATGTGTTCATCATATATACTACTGTATCCTTGTAGGTGTCCCATCCGTATCATCTTCCTTGCCTTGAACACGTTGAACCTGTTGGTTCTGTAGTGCTGTAGATAGACGTACCTTGTGTGTAGTACGGACAAGCGTGTTCTCCTCTGTATTTCTGTCTCTGAGTGCACAGTTGCAATATAGTCCACCGGGACATCAAACCAGTCAATCTATTCGTTATTAACGCAATCCATCAGTTATTAACGCAATCCATTAGCTATTAACGCAATCTATTAATTATTAACGCAATCTATTAGTTATTAACGCAATCTATTAGTTATTAACGCAATCTATTCGTTATTAACGCAATCTATTCGTTATTAACGCAATCTATTAGTTATTAGACGCAATCTATTAGTTATTATCGCACTCTGTTAGTTATCAACCCAATCTATAAATTATTAACGCAATCTATTAGTTATTATCGCAATCTATTAG